AACCTTAACAACATTGTTTGGCTAGTCCCATATATGATTTCATATGCCTTACTAATAAAATAGAATCCTTGAATCAATGATAATTAATTATATACGGCATGGCTCGCAAAATTTTCCAATAATCTCGAGCCGAGCCAATTTATTCCAACCAAATTCGTATACAAAAAAAGATAAAATTTGTGGAGTGTATATAGTAAATGCAAATGGGTTTCGACCAACCTTGTGAGAAAGCGCTATTATGAAAGCACGAAAAGAAAATATTCACAAATTAATCGCATTAAAAGAAAAGGGCTGACTCTTATTGTTCAACAGGTGTTTGATTCTAATATGAAGTTGATGTTTACCCATTCTAAGATGCATCTTACTTCGAGTAAAAACGGGCCAAATCGGTTTGTCATTTAATATTTACGAATAAAAATTGTGTCTTTAGGACTCTTGTAGCCTAAAAATGTCGAGTTCACCTGCACTGCGAGAAGGAAGGAGTGACGAACAGATTCGAAAGCGAGTCCCAGTATAAAACGACTATGAATTTCTCTTTACTCGAAGTCTTTAGGCTTAACTGAAAACTTGTGGTTTACGATCTCCCAGAGACAATCTCCGGTGAAAAATTGCCAATTTTTCGAATGCAATATGACGGGTATCATCAGAGCAAAATATTATTTCTACAACTAAGTAAGGTTAACGAGTCAAGAAAAGTCATTGACTTATCCCTACATGCTGAAAAATATACTCTAAGCTTTTGCACTTTTATTAGTTTTTTAGTTTATGTCATATGTCAATCTAGAAGCATGTGCATATTTAAGCCCATTCATGTGTGTACATATGTGCGTTTATATCTACTGTATAAAACCAACAGTGTTAGCTTAAAGCAAAAAAATAGAACGTGACCTTTGTTTAGAGTAAACCAGTATGTACTGATTCTGTTCTGACTTCTTTTCCTAACCATAACTAATAAGGTAGTGCTGGAATTTCGAAGTCAATGATTATTGGAAGGATGGGGTTTGCTGATAAAAATTAGTTAAATAGAGTCAGATGTAATGAAATAGCTATTTCTAGAAAATAATGACCCTTTAATCCTAATTTGAAGGAATATGTCATTAAGGAGGAATAGATTTTTAGGAGACTTTTGTTAAGGGATAGACAAGCTTAGCGCTGTTCTAGCCTATCAACTTTGCTGCCGTATCTTCTTTCTCAAACGAGAAGCGAACTTGAGAGACAGCGGTAGGCAAACTAGCCTTTAAGGAAACTCCGAAAATGCTCTGTGATGCCATTTTTAGAGAAATATGGCTACTATCAAGACCCGGCTGTTGCAAGGTTGTGTTCATGTGGTCGCTCTAAGGTTTGCAGGGCTAGCCACCCTATTCGCCAAAGTTTGTGCTAACATAAGATGTCTGTAAGGGATACTGGATCCAACGGTCAGAGATGACTGCACACGTGGCAGAAACCTGACACGACCGCGAGAGGTCGTGGGCGCATCTGTCTGTTGATAATGCTACGTCAGGTTTGAAACGCAAGATTAGGGAAGCTATATAAATTAACAGATAAGGGATATAAGTATCAAGTTGAGTTAGAACTACTTATGCCTAATTGATAGACTCAAGTAGAGACAGGATACTGGGCCACTGACAAGAATAAAACGACTCAATTGGTCTACCCGATAATGGTTTTGACAATATTTGCATACAGTTACCACGTCTGTTAAGTTAATCGGCTCAATCATACGAGCCTTTAGAATTTTCCCATTGCAATTATGCCTTTCCTTGGGTCATTAAGCCTTGAAGACCCTGGACTGACGTTGCGTCCTGTCCTTTTTACCCAGAGTTACAACTGGTGGTTTCGTAAGCTGACTCACACGCGTACATAAGCAAACATAAGCACACAATCATACACATGATACATAGAAGTACTTTTATTGGCATAAAATAGACTAAAAAAATCATTGAATAACAGTTTTTCCTGTTCCTTTTTGGTTTGGAGTATATAAAGCCTGCTGGTCTTATTGACTCAGTTCTCATAGTTATCGCAAGAATGAGATATAACTCTGACAATTTCCGTTGACTGGCATGATAGACGCCAGTTCTGCCCGTCTTCACACGAACTGGAGAAGGATATCTCATGGATTGGGCCATTCTAAATTTTATACTAAAAACAACCACATTCAAAACGGGAGTTGGCTGTTGTAATCCGATGAGATAGAAGTATGATTCTCTTCATCGCACACACCTTCACGCAACTCATCACACAACGTTTTGGAGTAGACAACTCCAAGACTTATTCGGTCACTCTAAGCCTAGACCTTTGGTTTATAGTCGTTCGACTTCACTCACCAGAGGTTATATCACTGATAAACCACACTGATTTTTTTCATGGAGTGTAAGGGATTACTGGTTAGAAAACCCAGTAAATAAAGCAAAGCTAGGCCGCCTGAGAAATGTATTCCAAAAATAACTTAAAAGTCTCCAGTACAGCAAATGGGCTGATTCGTCTTGGCATTCCTACCTGCAGAGTAGCAATCCTAGCTGACTTTGTTATTTACCCCTGACAGAGTGAGCTGTTCAGAGGTGGTTAATGTGCTTATTCAAGTTCAACAGGCTTGGTTATGTGGTCCCATGCACGACAGTTATAGATTGCAAAATATAATACCTATGCAATGAAAGATGCGTTCTAGATACAACAAGTGGCAATACAAATGGGCATTTCTTTCAGGCCTATTTCGTTTAGGATAATACGAAGACTTGTAGTTGGATTTTTCCACAATTATATGAGTAGATAGGACGTTTTCATTCAACTACTAGTCCCCTCATCACCCTAAACAGAATAGAATAAATAAATCTCATATATATGATCGGCCATTGTAATCGAACAAGTCTATTATTTTAAAGCAGATTTCAGGACTCTCAGTAACTCTTGAAAAATAAATTCGTTCTTCTCTTTCGTCGTCACTCACTTCGGCCATCTCAGACCAAGCGATTCGCAGGGGACCCGACTTTTCGCCGAGGCGGCGCGAAAGGTCTCCGGAAGTCCTCGGGGGACCTGGTACAGGAGTGCTTGCCCGGCTGGAGGTTGGGCGGATCAATGAGGGCGAGAACGAGGACGCCGATGTCGAGGACGTCAACGGCGGAGGCGGTAAAGAGGTGTTGGAATCTGTGGCTGCGCTCTGGCGTAGATCAGAGCCGCCAGTGATTATTGTTTGTGCATTAACTGTCTCCAAACCCATCGAGCTTGGGATGGTGACCAAGGCGTCTCCTGACGGCGAGACGGCCTCAAAGGGTGCCGAAGGTGCA